GAGACCCCTCCACATACGCCTCAGCGCCAACCCCGAGCTGGAGACCCCTCCACGGGACGCCTCAGCGCCGACCCCGAGCTGGAAATCCCTCCACATACGCCTCAGCGCCAACCCCGAGCTAGAGACCCCTCCATGGGACACATCGGCAGCACTGCGACAGGACTGTCTGGGGATGGCGATGACCTGCACCTGCACTGCCCAGGACACGGCCACCAGCCCACCTGGCTATTAGCAAGGGCTTCACCCACAGCTGGCCCGACTGAAGGTGGAGGGTGCATCCTATTTCATTTTGATTAACGGATATGGTGCCATGTGTGGCCCGTGGCTCCTACACTGGACGGCAGGCTCTGATGCATCTGAACACCACAGCCAGTCCTGGCTCCTCCACATCCCTCTGTGCACTCCTGGCACCAGCACACACCCACACGCCCAAGTCCTCATCCCTCACCTGCGCCCCCACCTCCATCCTATCACCAGGTCCTGCAGGCACCACCCCTAAAACACAGGCCCATGCTGTTCCCTTCTTCCCATCACGCTGTCCCCTTCTTCCCATGCCCACAGACCCCATGCCCGCCTAGACGGCAGCCATCCATGCCGGGCTCCCTGCCCCATCTCTCCCATAATCCCTTCTCCAGCCAGTGGCCCCCTCCCTTGCTGAAATGCCCAGTGCCTCCCCCAGCACACGGTGATGAAACCTAACTTCGAGGGCCCCTGTTGCAGCCCACGACCTCTGACGTTTGGCCTCTGCCAGGACCCCCGCTCACGGACCTCGCGATTTCCGTTCCTCCCCTGCAATGTTGTTCCCCGCGCTCCTCAGCAGCCTGAACCCAGGGCCTCAGAGAGGAGTGTTCAGAAGCAGCGTGGTAGCAGCTGTCGTCGGTGCGTGATTCACACCCGGGATTGGGGCCTGCCCGGGGCCAGCGCCTGGTGTCCTTAGAAGCAGACAAGAGGACACAAAGGCAGGGAGGAGGGGCCACGTGGCCACCGGGCAGAGGAGAGGGTGACACCCCTGCAAGCCAAGCAGCCCTGAGATCTCGGCCAGCCCCAAAGCCAGGAGAGGCGGGCGGGGGGAGGTCTCCCTGGCGCCCTGAGCGGGCTCAGCCCGCCACACACCCATCTCAGCCTCTGCCTCCAGAACTGTGAGAGGATACACGTTGGGTGCTTTCAGCTGCCCGGGCTGTGGACTGGGCTACCCAGATGGCAGACACATCAGGCTGCAGCTGCAGCATCCCTGCGCCCTCTCTAGGAGCAGAAATTCCTCTTCCCACCCTTATTTGTGTCCTGTCTCCTCCCTGGACCTCGATGGCCTCACACGCTGCCTCCCCAGCAGCTGAACAGTAGCCTGCGCGGTGACCACTGCCCAGCGGATGCCGACCGGGGCGAGTGGCGGTCACACTCCTCTCACAGCCATCTCGACCATCTGTCTGGGGTGGGCATAGGCGGCAGGTGCCTTGGCACACAAGGCGTTAAACATCGAGGAAGGGGCAGAGGCGCCCGCACCCGCACTGATGGCTCACACAAGGCGTGGGAAGGATGAGCAGGCCCCCTGTTTCTGATGTAATTATCAGCGCTGCAGCGGGGCCGATAACAAACCAGTTCATTAGCAAACCCACTGGAAGCAGTCGGCAGCCGCGTCAACAAAACAATTAGGCGTCCGCTCCCAGGGCTCCCTGGGCCTCGGCCGCGGGGCCATTCCCGGCAGCACAGCGAGCGGCTCCCTGCCCCTCCGGGCCTGCCAGGCCAGGCAAGGTCACGGGCCTTCCATGGCCTTCCACAGCCTTCCATGCTGCCCGCACATCCACCAGGTGCCAGGGGAGGCTCCGATGTCCCCTCTGGCCCTCCCTAAATGAAAGTAGCCTCGCATGTGTCTATCAGTGTTGGGAGCCCCTGCAGGGACATGACAAGCAGGCAGCTGCACGCCTGACTCCGGGCCACCAGGACCGGCCTTTCTCCTCCACATGCTGCCCTGAAGGGGCCTCAACGGCCATGGCAGTCCTGCTTCTGTGCCAGGCACCACCCAAGTGCTGTTCCATGTCACTTCCAACAGGCCGAGGGAAACTAAGGCACAGCGCTAGGAGGGGAGGGTCTGCACCCAGGCAGATGGCTCCAGGTCTGAACCGTGGGCCCTATGAAGGGTCACACCTTGGGTGGGGAGGGGACACGCGATTAGGGGTGCAGGGGCCCGCCCCCCACAATCCCTTGCCAGCGCTTGCTCCTGGAGGTTCTCTCTCACTCTCCGGGTTACGACTCCTCCACAAAGGCCGAAGATTGGCCATGAGCTGGGATGCCCTGATATGGGAGAGGGGAGAGGTCCACCACTTCTGACTCAGGGCCAGGCCCCGTGAGCCCCCTCGTCCGGCTCTCCTGCTTCTCTGACGGCTGCCCCCTGGGATCCCTCGCCGGTGCCCCTCGAGGGGGTCCCGCCTCTGCCTGACCCCATGAGCAGACCCGCTCCTCAGATGCCAGGCAGCATCCAGCTGCAGCCGCCGAACCAGCTCTGTCCGTGAAGGATGGTAGAGAAGACTGGGTGCTGCCGAGCCGGCAAAGGCCCTGGAGCCACACCATGAGCCTCGGTCTAGAAAAGCCCCCAACCCTCCTCTGGGGAGATGTGCCCCCCCTCCCCGACCAGAGCTCCTGGGCAGCAGAACTGGGAGTATTAGAGGGTGTGATCCCGAAAGCTGAGAGCAGCAGGAGAAAGGAGGGAGGGGCCCAGCAGGGAGCCTGGAGACCCAGGTGTCTTTGATGGGTGGCCCTGCCCCCATGGGAGTGGATGTGTCTGCAGACATTGTGGTTGAAACAGCTGGGTTGGGGTGTGCCTGGCATGGGGTGGGTGGAGGCCAGGGGTGCTGCTCAGCACCCTGCAGTGCCCAGGATGGCCCCAGCCCAGAGAAGGATCTGGCCCCAATGTCCGCAGTGCCGGGGGAGAGACTAAACGAGGCCTTCTTTCCAGACCACTCCTCTCCTAGCTCACCCTCCAGACGTGCAGCATAAACACTAGGCCAAGAGCCAGCACAGGGCCCACTCACTCTGACCCGGCCCGGGACCCGCTCTGCATGGTCTTAGCTGTAGATTCTCCCAATGCTTCTGCATGACCGTGACACCCCCTAAGTCCACACATGGGAAGGGGCCCCAAAAGCCCTGACCAGGGTCAGAGAGGCAGGGAAGATCTGGGAGAAGGAGCAAGGGAGACATATTTTACATCCAGCCCTGCAACACCACAAATCAGAGGCTCACTGAGGCAGGAAGCCAAAGGCAGGGCACAGGCCAGCCATGGGCTCCAGTGGGCTCTGGCAGGTCAGAGGAGGGGCTGGAGTTTCCCGGGCCTCTGTGGGCCCTCCTCCCTCCCACACTTCCCCAGCCCCCGCCTTCCTTCTGCCGCCTCCCCCTGGGCTCGGGTTAATCACCCGGAGCGGGCGGCCTCATTACCAAACAGAAGGAACACACAGTTCTCGCAGGCAGCAGAAACAATTTGGTTTGAATTTTACAGTAATTACGTTCAGTACACCCCAGGGCTGGGGTTTCAGGAGAGGCCTGCTTCCTGCGGAGCCCCCACCCTGGCCGGATGCGGGAGGTGGGGGGAGATGGGTGGCGGTGCTTCTGGGGAATCCAAGTCGTCGTCCCCTTCCCAAGCTCAGTAGAAGTTCTCCCTGCCAGACACCTCCCGAGAGCCCGAGATGTCCCCGGGGAGGCTGGTGCGCAGCAGGCCTCACCCACAGACAGCTGGCATGGAACCAGTTAAGAGCACGGGGCTTCCTGGCCTTCCAGCCGGGCTTCCCATCTCTTGCGCTCTGTTTAATCCTCAATCAACTCTCCAGGTGACAGGGGAGTTTCGGGACGCCGCTGAATCCCAGGCTCTGGAGGTCAGACCCTTCTCTACCAGCACCAGGCGCCACCCACCGTGGGGTCAGCCCGGCCGCGTGCTGAGCTAATCTAACACGGCGTGCAGGCTTGTAGGACTAACTTGAGTTCGGCGTGAGAAAGGCTGCTGCGCGCACATTTTATTTCTTCCAGTGAGACGGGAACATCCTTGTGATCTGCCCCGTTAGTAATCCCACTACAAAGCCTGCCTGCTGGAGCACGTGCCGGGGATTCTGCTCTGAGACACGGAGCCGCCACCTCTGGAGGCCCCTCCACCCGCCCCCACCGGGCTGTGCACAGGACACATGCCCAGGACACGAAGCCACTGGCCCAGGAGACACCTGGTGGGCAGGGAGGGTGTGGGCTTCCAGATGCCCCATCGGCTTGTGCCTCCAAGTGGGGCAAGGGAAGAGAGAGAGGGAGAGAGAGGGAGAGAGAGGGAGAGAGAAAGAGAAAGAAGACGTTACCATTGAGATGGCTCTAGTTGAGAAGAGAGACCTCTCAAAACGAACCCAGTGCTGCACCGTAAGCCTCAGCCTGGCGAGGTCGGGGCATGGAGCAAGGCGTGCGGCTAGGGGGGCAAGCCTGCTGCCCTCTGCACTCTCACCTCTCCTTGGCAGACCTGGGGGCTGGGATCCCTCCCCAGCACACAGCAGGCGCTCAGCAACGCCGGGCTGGGCTTCCAGGACCTGCCACTCTGCCCTCTCCCCGGCACTGCCTCACCCGCTCAGCAGGGAGGAAGGGGAACAGGCTTTGGGGTCTTCACCGTTTTTGATTTTTTTGTCTTGTTTTCCCTTTTTGTGGAGAGTGGGGTCTCACGATGTTGCCCAGGCTGGCCCTGAACCTCTGGAGTCATGCAGTCCTCCTACCTCGGCCTCCCTAGATGCTGGGATTACAGGCGTGAGTCACTGTGTTTGGCCTTTTGTTTGGTTTTTACTCCCCATTCCGAAAACAAACCAACGAAGCAACAACAACAAAAACTTCTCCCACTTGGGAACTGTGGGGTGCTCGCTCAGCAAGCAGCTAGGAATGGCCAACCCCTCTTCCCTCCCCAGAGCTACGCGCCTCTGACTATGAAAAGAGGAGTGTGTGGTGTTTTGTTTTGTTTTTTTTTTTTTAGTACAAAAAAAGACAGAACCATATTGAAAAGTTAGCGCGTATTTTTAAGGTATCCCAAATTCCGTGACATCAAACTAATATCAACCAATAGTTGGGCAAATCTCCCTTTCCCAGCTTGAGAACCACAACCCCACCACCTCACCACCCCACCACCCCACCACCCCACCACCCCACCACCCCACAACAAATGGGAATCACCACAGTCGCCGTCGGAGCCTGTTTGTTCACTTAAAGTGCTGCGTGCACCTCTCCAAGCCCAAAGACACAGAGCACACCCCAGGGAGCAAACACATTTTCCCGGCTGCACAACGTTCCACTGGCTCAACCCACCCCCGGTCATACAACTTCCCACTACAACAATCGAGGCTACAGCTGTCCTCAGACACGGAACCAGTATGCATATGTTCCCGAGACAGAAGCGCTGGCCACAGGAGGCACGCGTGTAGTCCACGGCAGACGGCCTTCCAGAAAGGCCACCCATTTTTTATTCTGGATTACTGTTCCTCATTTGCTAAGAACTGATCCGGGGGAAGGATGTTTCTGGACGATTTCAGTGAGATTTGCGTGCCCTACAATTCACCAGGTGTGCGACGCAGGAGCTTGTGTACCCACAGACTGGGGCAACCATCTTCGCCTTCAAATGTAGAGCATTTTCACCCTCCAAGGAAAACCCACCCCCATCCGCTGTCACCCTCCAGCCTCCACACCTACGCACCCCTTCCTGCCTCTGAGCACTGGCCTGTCCTGGACATTTCATAGAAATGGGGTTTCGCACGGTGTGGCCTCTGGGTCTGGCTTCTCTCACTGAGTGGGGTGTCCTCAGCGTTCGCCCACACTGGGCCTCACTCCTTCTCATGGCTGAGCAGATGGTAAGGTCAGCTCCCACTTCTCTTTGTTTACCGTATTCCCCAATTTCCAACAATGCACATTCTTCCTTCTGTATCTGCCCCAAGGGATGTGTGGGTGAAGCTGGCAGGGGCGCCCTGCTCCTCTGTCTCTTGAGGATGTCAAAACCTCCCACTGTCATCCTACCCCTGTAACCACAATCCGCTCTTTTGGGGGTCCTGGCCCGTTCCCTGCAGCCTCAGGGCTCCCTCGGGGACTCCGGTGGTCTCTGCTCAGCTGTGGCCCCTGCTCAGCCGTGGCCCACAGATGAACGCCTAGGTTTTGATTAATTATGGAAAAGCCTGTCTACTTATCACGGGTGGAGCTGTGGGCAGGGGCCACCTCCCCCCATCGACCTCTGCTCCAGATGGAAGTTGAGCCCAGGGCTCCCCTCAGGTCTAGGGGCCGGGGGAGTGAGGGTTTGTATCCATGGTGTCCGAGTGATGCGGCTTGCATGGTCCAGGAATCGTGGAGTGAGTTGGAGACAAAGCCCGGGCCGCATTTGTACACCCACCTCTCTTTGATCAGAGAGGGTTTTTGCAGGGGCTGCTAAGAGCTGGATGTGAGCACATCTGGCGGATGGAACCGTGCTCCAGAGGAAGCTAAGCCGCCAGCTCCCTGCCCCTGCAGGGATGGACGCTCACCCTGACAATGATGGGCCCTTGGGGGCCCTCAGATGCCCGGGGCCTACCCGAGTGGGGGGCCACATCCCACCCACGAGGAAAGAGGCTCCCTCCCGCTCTTCGGAAGGCAGTGAATACAAGGAATGGGGCTCTCCCCCACAGGTGGGCATGAAGAGCAGGTGGTAAAGAACTTCTAGTTCCTGAGGGCAAAGCAACCTCCTGCCTGGCATTGAGCTCCGGAAAGACACGAGATTCCTCCAGAGGAGACTTAAACCTGCGCTGCCCAGCGCCCTCATGCCCCAAACCCGCCTATCAGTCCGGCCCGCTTCCGGAGAAGAGACTCGAGTGAAGTGAACGAAATCCCAGCCCTGAAGCCGGGGTCCGTCCCAAGGTGGGAGTCTGTCAGGCAAGGCAGCTGGCCAAGGCTTCGCGGCTCTGAGATACTTAACACCTGTGTGCTTAAAGAGGGTCGCACACCGAGGCTGCGGACCGCTGCAGTGCTCAGCCGCCTTAGGTCTGGGAAAGTGGCACAGAGATGAGGAGCTCAAATAGAACACTCAGATACTCAGAGACAGGCGCTCGGCAGGAGGGGAGATGCCGGGAAACCTGGGTCTAGGAGGCCACACCAGCAGGGCAGTCAAAAATGACAGTGGCACTACCTACCCCACCCCCCAAAAAGAGAGGACCGACCTCGAAAGTGGCCCTGGCCAGCAGCTCTCACTGGGGCCAATCCTGCCTTCAAGGGATGCTGCATGATGTCTGGGGACCTTTGCGGTTGTCACCATTGGGGTCCAAAGGTCACCAGTCCTGAGGGGAGCAGGTCCATGACACCAGGTGTCACAGGGGATGAGTGGGAGTGGAGAGCTGGGATGGGGACACAGCCGTACCTCCCCCACACAGACACACAGGGCCGGGGCCACCAGGCCTCCTCCTGTCCCGAGAGGCACTCCGTCGCCTGCTGTACAGACGGGTGGCGAGGGTGAATGCCCGCAGACCGGCTAGAAAGGAAAAACACCCACGGGAATAAATCCCACCCCTCCTTGACAATGGCCTCCATGTGCCCACGGCATTCTGCTGATGGGGAGTGGATGAGGCCTTGCTTCCGCCACAAGCGCGGGCCTGGGCTGCTCCATCTCACCTGTGAGCTCAGGCAGGCGCCAGCCCTGCTGAGAGGGTGGGAGGGGAGAGCCCCACGCTGCCTCTTGTGTGTGTGCACAGGGCCCTGGAAGCTCTACCCAGGGGCTCTGGTACAAGGCTGTGTATCTAGGTAAGCCACCTGCTGCAGGGAGATCGTATTTCTTGGGGATTTTACAGCCAGGGGGAACCTTGGAGAGCTTTTGGCCTGTGGGGGCAGACCTGGGCCAAGGGCTGGGCCTCCTGCCTGCCATGGGGTAGCCAGGGATGCTCCGTGGGCAGGTGGCAGCACGTCCATGGCACTGACCTGGCCTGCTCAGGGCTGCAGCTGCTGGCAGGTCCATCCGGAACTCCAGAGGCAGCTGCACTGGCTCAGGGTGTGGTGACGGGTGGGGGCCGACCTGCTTTCGCAGCAGGCCCTGGGGGCTGGGCGGGGGAGGAGGTGGCTGTCCTGCAAGCCACGCACCCCTCTGGGTTCTGCTGACGGTGGTGGGGGGCGGGGACAGGGACAGGCTTCCTCTGTAAGGGCCAGGCAGCACATGTCTCTTGGCTTTTCAGAACTCCTCAACTCGGCAGGGTGAAGCGGACGCAGACGCCACCTCCATGCCAGGGTGTGGCTTTGCACAGGATGCTCATTTGTTAAGCGAGACTTCAGTTTCGTCTGGCTGTCACAGGTCACACGTCCTTCGAACTGTCCTCCTGCCACAACCCTTTGAAGATGTAAACCTCCTGCTCAGTTTGCAGACGGCATAATGCCGGCCTGCCAGCTCGGAGCCCTAGCTTGCCAACCCGTGAACACAGACACCCAAAATTCACAGGAGGGTGGCTTCCCACCGTCAGCTCCTGAACACAAAACTGACAGAAAAGGGACAACGGGGTCGGGGGCAGGGGTCCCTAGGGGTCAAGGAAGGCGAACAAGCTGACAAGGAAAGATGTCTCTAAGCAAACGGAGGGGTGGAAGCCGCCTCCCCCGCTCTCCTCTGAAGAACGTGCTCAAAAGAAACTGGCCCAAAATGCCAATGGGATGGGGGAGCTGGGCTGGCCAGCGGGACACCAGAAAAGGGGGATTCTGGGCTGCCCCTTCCCTCCAACTGGGCTGCACACAGATCTGGACAAGGCCCGAGCCCCACCTGACCTGGACCGTTTCCCTGCCTTTTAATGCTCCTCTGTCATCTGTGCGGCGAGATGCTCTAATAGCCTCTCCAGCCTGGGCTGCTTGTGGGAGCAGAAAACCCTGCCAGAGTCAGGGGCGGGCTGCCCCGCCAAGAAGCCTGAGAGCCACCGACGCCCCCCAGACAGCCATAGAGGCCTCGTGGCTAATGACACTCCCTGCGTAAGGCCCTCGCCGCCCAGGCCAGGCCTGACTACACCAGGGGGTGCCTGAGCAGGGGCTGGGACAGCGGGGCTGGGGGCTCCAAGAGGGAGCCTGCCTGGAACCCCTGGTGTGTGTCACGTGCTGCACGCTGCTTGTTCAGCAATTTCACGCTACGCCGCCTGACAATGGAAGCGTGGAGCCCAGTCTCAGTCCGCACTTCCCAAGTCACTTGTTTGTGAACACATGGCTGAATCCCAAATTGCTTTTAATATCTGGGCAGTCCCCACCGCCCCGCTGCAATTTCAGTTCTGACAGCACCTCCAGGACAAGCCTGAGGCCTGAGGCTCACAGCTCAATCTGCTGCTGGGCTGGTCACAACACCCGCGGCGCCCCCACAGCGGCACAAACACACAGACACACGCCCTCTCAACACAGCGACAGCCCTGAGATACCTAACTACTCCCTTAGATCAAAAAGCCGAAATCCCAACTTCCGGATCTCTCTTCCTTTAGCTAAGCCCAGAGTCTTCACTAGAGACATTGGGGATTTTCTGAAATGAGTCCCGGGGGCACCTCTCAGGGCCTTGCCTGCTGTAGACCCCTGTTCTTTTTCTTAACTGCACCGAAAGCAGAGAAACAGCCACAAAAATTAAGGTTCGCTCATTCGTCCAGACCAGCGCAGCCAGGAGAGACGTCACACAGGCCACCTATGCTGTCCCCATTTTCCCAGCAGCCAGGCGAAAAAAGCAGAAAGAGCTGGCATGCCGCGGTGGCTCACGCCTGTAATCCCAGCACTCTGGGAGGCCGAGGCGGGTGGATCACTTGAGCCCAGGAGTTGCAGACCAGCCTGGCCAACATATTAAAACCCTGTCTCTGTAAAAGGGTGGTGGGGGGGAAGTAAAAAGAAACAGGTGAAATTCATTTTTTTCTTTGAGACAGGGCCTCACTCTGTTGCCCAGGCTGGAGTGCAGTGGTGCAATCATAGCTCATCAATGCCTTGACCTCCAGGGCTCAAGAGATCCTCCTGCCTCAGCCTCCCAAAGTGCTGGGATTACAGGCGTGAAGCCACCATGTCCGGCCAAAATCCATCTTAATTATATAAACACATATAACTTACATACATAAATTATGTAATTTATATGTAATTTATATTTATATACAATTCATATAGATTATTTATATATTTATATAAATATATATAATGGTGCCGGTGGAGGAGACACCTCAAACCCCAGACCCAAGCAGTCGGCCATGCCCAGGAGGCCCACGCGGGCGGCGGGCTAGCTGGTGTATGGAACTAACTGGAGATGGACCCGGGACCACCGTCGTCCACCCGGCCTGCCCACCTCCTCTCTAGTCTTCAAGGTAAGGAGCGTTCTGGGCAAAAGTTCTCTGAGGAGTCCGGAAACAGACCCTGGTTGAGAGTCCGGGCCTTGGGCTGAGCGAAACGGCTGCTGGACCAGCCACGGGCAGGTGGCTGCAGAGCAGAGGCAAAAAAGAGCCTCTGTCCGGCCTGCTGTGTCCTGCTCCCAGCCGGCAAGCTCTTACCTGAGTGGCCACTTTGCCGTAGTCAATCCACCGCAGGGTGGCGAAGTTGGTAGATTCTGCACAGTTGAACCCGTGATTGAAGCCGGCGTGGTAGCCGTATGGAAATGTGATCATGAATTCCCCAGCCTCCTGTGTGATCTGAGGAGGGAAAGGGCATGGGTGAGGGCAGGGCCACTGGAAGTGCACCAGGGGATGGGGCGCGGGGACTTCCCAGCGGGTGCCAGGGAGCCTGGCTCACAAACCAAGGGGGTTTCACGAAGTCAAAGGTGGATCCAGGGGCTCCGGGGCTCCAGCCCATTTCCCACACGGCTCATGAAGGACACGGTGAGCAGGCGTGGCCACAGCTCT